ATCATCATCATCATCATCATCATCATCATCATCATCATCATCATCATCATCATCATCATCATCATCATCATCATCAAACAAAAAAATATAGATGTATATATATATATACCTAAGATTTAGCCTTTCTTTTTCTGGAAGGCGAATTACCTAACCAATCTTTTACAATAACAGTGGCATAAATATAACATATTGTTGATCAACAAATAATATCATCATAATGACTGGTTTTTAGAAAAGAAAAAATACATTCATTGAAAATTTTAGGTAAAGGTAAAAAATTAAATGCGTTATTAATATCTTTATGTTATTTATTTTTAACGCTTTTTTTTGACGCGCGAATTTTAAGGTGTGAAACAAAGACAAAAAAAGGTTTTCAGTAAAATGGAGACTTTTAAAAAACAAAGATTTTCATTAACAATAGATTTCTAGGTTCTTTTTTTCCTTTATTATCACAAGAATGGTAATAACTTTTTTGTTTAGATTTAAAAATAATATTAATATTAAATATTTGTTATTATTGAAAATAGACTTATTCTAAATAATATGAATGGTCAGCAATCCCTTCACAAAAATATCAAGACTGAAAGGATCGAATTCATTTGAATAGCTCTGAACTAGAATATCAAAAGAAATTGGCATGTGCATATGGACTAGCAATTGAAAAGTGCATATTGGTGTTTAAGGTTGAACAACACCAACATCATCACCAAACTAATGATCAATATCAAAAAATTGATTAAAAAACGTATAATATCAGCGAACCCCGAATTGGTTCTTGATGCACCAAGAATGATTAATGACTATTATTTAAATTTATTGGATTGGAGTAATAAAAATATGGTGGAAATTGGATTAGATAAAAAGTGTTCATTTGTGGAATGCAAGAACTGAGGAGGTGAAGACACTTGCTTTTACTAGAAGTGGTATTAGTAGTCTTTTCTGGTCTGAAGATGGTGATTATTTTGCTGTGGGATTGATGATGGTGATATTCAAATATGGGATATTTCGAGTGCTCAAAATATTAGATCAATGAGTGGTCATACTATTCGTGTAGGTGTATGTCAATTATGATATCAAATGTATTGCATAATAAACATAACCATCATGAATATTTGATGGATGGAGACATTCACATACAAGGAAATGATTAAATAGCTAATTCGTGTTTGTTTTATTAA